CAGCTCTCACTAAGCTCTGCAGAATGTAGCTTCAGTTCCCCACCCCCTGCTTTCTGAAAGCTCAGCTAAGCTTTATTAATTCTGCATTTTGAACAGCTATAAAGAAGAGATGACTGCAAATAAACAGGTACAACTTATGTAGGAGGATTTGTTTCATCTCTGTGTATCAACTGAGGCCAGTCACTTCCTTGGGTATATGTTATGGTTTACAAAAACTTTAATAAAGGGTGATAGAAATACACTGGTAGTTATCATAATTAAAAACAATTGTATTCAGGTATAAGCTGAATTTTGACAGGCTGCCTTTAATGGGGCCATATTTCCTGTGCCTATAATAGTTTTACCGGTGGTCCTAATTACTAAGGTGTCTGGGACAGAAATTTCTCAAACAGTCTACATTTCCAGTAGCAACCAATCAGATTACTTCTCAAGCATCGTATAATGAAAGTGAGTTTTTACTGTGTAGCATGCACGGTCTGAAACAATTCTTCCCACAGATAAACTGATGAAAAAGATTCAACCTCATTCTGAAAAGCATCTTGCTGAAAATCTGTCAGCGACGTCCCACTGCCACAAAGTCACATTCAAACTTTCAGATTCCAACTGTCACTTACCACTGTTTGTTGGAATCTGATTAGTTGCTATAAAATATAGAGAGAGGACTATATTATTGTTTTCAGAGTGATTAGAGGGGTGCATGTACTCTTTTCTCTGTGTAAAATTATTATATTTATTATTATTATACAGGATTTTTATAGCGCCAACAGTTTGCTCAGCGCTTTACAATATAAAGGGTGACAATACAGCAACAATATAGTTCAATACAAGAAGGTTAGGAGGGCCCTGCTCCATGGAGCTTACAATCTAAGAGGGAGGGGCTAGTGGTACAAAAGGTAATAACTGTGGGGGATGAACTGATAGGAGAAATAGAAGATTCGGTTTTTAGCTGAAGGCAAGACAGATTTCCCTGAAGAGATAGGTTTTCAGAGATCATCTAAAAGTGGGCAGAGTAGGCGATAGTCAGATAGATTAGAGAGTTCCAGAGGATAGGGGAGACTCTTGAGAAGACCTGGAGATGAGCATGGGAGGAGGAGACAAGGGAGCTAGAAAGCAGGAGGTCATGGGAGGAGCGGAGAGGATGGTTTGGGTGATATTTGGTGACAAGATCGGTGATGTAATTTGGGGCACAGCTATAAATGGCTTTATATGTTATTGTTAATGTTTTGAATTTTATTCATTGGGCAATGGGAAGCCAGTGGAGGGATTGGCAGAGATGGATAGCAGATATGGAATGGTTAGTAAGGTGGATAAGTCTGGCAGCAGCATTCATGATAGACTGAAGAGGGGATAGCCTGCGATGAGGTAAACCAATGAGTAGGGAGTTACAATAGTCAAGGTGAGAGACAACAAGGGAGTGAATAAGTTGCTTAGTTGTTTCCGAGGTTAAAAACAGGCGTATCTTGGAGATGTTGTGGAGGTAAAGTCCAAAAGATTTGGACAGCGATTGGATTTGGGGCTGAAAGGACAGATGGGAGTCTAGGATTACACCTAACACCCTGGCATGAGGGGAGGGACTGATGGTTGTGTTATTGATCTTGATGGAAAAGTCAGGGGAGGGGGCACAGGCTGGAGGGAATAGTGTGAACTCCGTTTTAGAAAGATTTAATTTGAGGAAGTGGAATGACATCCATGCGGATATGTCACTTAGTAGGTTAGTGATGTGAGGGAGACTGAAGAGGTGAGGTGAGGAGTAGAAAGATAGATTTGTGTGTCATCAGCATAGAGATGGTACTTAAAGCAATGGGAGTTTATCCAGTGACCAAAGGGAGGAGGTGTAGATGCAGAAGAGAAGGGGTCCAACGACAGAAACCTTGAGGGACCCCTACAGAAAGAGGGAGTGGAGAGGAGGAGCCAGAGTTATAGGTAACTCAGAAGGAGCGCTGCATTAGGTAGGAGGAGAACCAGGAGAGAGCAGAGTCTCGGAGGCCAAGAGAGTGGAGTGTTTTGAGGAGGAGGGGACAGTCAACAGTATCAAAAGACTGCAGAGAGGTCAAGTAGTAAGAATATGGAGTAGTGGCCATTGGTTTTAGCAGTTAGTAAAATCCTTATTCCTGTGTATAGTTTTTATGGGTACATAGGGCCGCTATATTTGTTACCCGCTCTTCTTGTTTAACCTCCCTGGCGGAATTCCCAAGTGTAGCTCGGTGTAAAGTTTCAGTACCACAAGTGGTAACCCTGAGCTACACTCAGGCTTACCATGCGACGTTGCTCCGGGATCTCTTCTTCACTTACCTTGTCCTGCGCTCCCGCGATGTCCCTCCTGCAGTGTCCCCAGCAATGTCCTCCGGCAGATGCCGGCAACTGTCTTCTGGGTTTCGTCCCCTGCGACGTCAGGACGTACGGGGACGTAACGGCGGCAAATTTGAAAATGACAAAAAGTGACATTCATTAAATTCACTAAAATCACATAGTAAAACATTACTGTATCAAACCATTTCAC